GTTGCAGACTCTGAGGTGTCCTGTGTTTTCATGGAGAGCTGCATCTTACCGTGCAGCTTCCAGGGCGACACGGATGTGATCATCCACTGGAATCAGGTGACAGCAGGAAACAGTCCTGTCCACTCCTTCTACTACAACAAAGACCAGCTCGCTCACCAGGACCAGCGCTTCAGCGGCAGGACGTCAGTGTTCGAGGACCAGATCTCAGGAGGAAACGCCTCACTCCAGCTGACAGGGCTGCAGGTTCAGGACCAGGGGAGATACAAGTGCTACACAGGCACCAACAGAGGAAGGAATGAATCATTTATCAACCTGAAAGTGGACGGTGAGAAACACAGTAAATATAGAAAATACAAAACAAAAAGGTTTTTCAGTGCTGCAGTAAATCCTCCTTCATGAAGGTCCTGATGTTCAGTTCGTGTTGAAGATTGTGTCCAGTAGATGGACATTTTATCTTTAATCCATGTAGAACAATGAAGACGCCATCACTATTATTGTTATCCAATATATTCTAAAGAAACTTCATATAAAGCAAAAGCTTTTTTCATTGTTTACTTTCTTTGCAGCTCCAGTTGGTAAAGTCGACCTCCAGCAGGTGGGAAACAGGATCACCTGCAGCTCAGAGGGGATCTACCCTGAACCTGAGCTCACCTGGTCCACCAGCCCTCCATCCACTGTGACCTTCAAGAGCCAAGCTGAAGTCCAGGAGACTGAGCAGCTGCTCTACAACATCAGAAGTTCTCTGACAGTTTCAGACAGCGACTCTGATCTGAGCTACAGCTGCAGCATCAGCACTCGCAGAAACAAGAGGAGAGCCACTTTGTTTAAAACAAGTGAGTGATTTTAAAGAGACGTGTAGTCAGCTACAGTGGAGATTCAGAATCTGACAAAATATTCAGACATTTTTCATTTTTGTGTTGTGTCATCTCAGCTTCTGTCAGTCGGACCAGCTCTGCAACACTCCCCTGTATGGCCTCAAACACCTCCCTCACAGGCTTCAGTCTCACCTGGAGATTCAACCACATTCTGATCATCCTGACCCGGACCAGAGCTGACGTCTCCTCCTCAGGCTCAGTGGGCTGGAGGCAGCAGGT